GGATACTTATGACTCCTCCACCCCTTATCCATATCATCTACATCATGTAAATAACGTGTTTCTTCCCTTCCTTGATGAAAGTACAGTCTTCGAAGGGTTGTCATCAATTGACATCTGTTTCTCTGCGGGTCCAGATAAAGTTCCGAGCTGTATTTTAAAATACTGCGCTCAAGCCCTAACTCATCCTTTGACCTTCTTATTTAATTTATCCCTGGAGCATTCTCGCCTCCCCATGATCTGGAATGAATCCTACCTTATTCCTCTTCACAAGAAAGGGTCCAGATCTAATATCGAAAATTATCGTGGTATTGCTAAACTGTCTGCCATTCCGAAGTTGCTCGAGCACCTTGTTACTCGTCAATTGCAACACGCATGTTCTAGCATTATATCCCCGACGCAACATGGTTTTTTTAGACATCGATCAACATCTACTAACCTTTTAGAATTCTCGTCTCTAATCAACCGAGGATTTCAAAGTGGCTTGCAGACTGACGTCATTTTTACAGATTTCAGTAAAGCTTTTGATTCTGTTAATCATACTTTACTGATCCATAAACTCTCTTTATTAGGTTTTCCCACAAATCTTGTAAATTGGATATCATCGTACCTGTCGAATCGCACACAGCGTGTGTTGTTTAACAATGTCTTGTCGATTGTTGTCAAAGTAACCTCTGGAGTTCCTCAAGGAAGTCATTTAGGTCCGCTTCTTTTCAATTTGTTTGTGAACGACCTGACCCAAGTTATTTTGCACTCAGTTACTTTAATGTATGCTGATGACGTTAAAATTTGTTTTTCCTTCTCCGACTGGTACTTGCATACTCGCCTACAACCGTGCACCACATTTGGTCTCCTATTCTCTAGCACACCATGTCCTGGATCGAATCTCCACATCAAATGACTTAGGAGTCCTTTTCGATCACAAGCTATGTTTTAATAGCCATATTGCTTCAACTGTTAACAAAGCTAAGGGAGTTCTAGCGTTTATTAAGCGTTGGTCAAAAGAGTTTGACGATCCGTATATAACTAAAGCACTGTACGTCTCGTTGGTTCGCCCGATATTGGAGTATTGTTCTTGTGTGTGGAGTCCACAATACAAGGAGCAACAAATTATTATTGAATCCGTTCAAAAACAATTTTTAATATTCGCCCTTAGACATCTAAACTGGGACTCTGACAGACTCCTTCCACCATACCTATCTAGGCTAAAACTACTGAATCTACCCTCTTTACACCATCGCAGAATTTGCAATGGCGTGGTATTCATGCATAAGCTCATTCTCGGGATTGTGAACTCCCAAACGCTTTTGGGACGAATCGATTTTTCGGTTCCCTCCAGACCAACCCGTACCTTCCGCCCCATCCGATTATCCATATGTAGATCTAATTACTCCCAGCATGAACCTTTCCGGGTTTTATGCAATAATTATAATTACTTGTACCATTTAATATCCCCCGAATTATCCCTTGAAAAAATTATATTTAACATTTATCATTACCTTAGTTTAGAAAATGTGTAAATTGTATCTTTCCTTTCTGTCTAGTACATATATAATTAGTTTGTTTTTTTTTTTCCTTTTTATTCCTATTCCATAATTAGCAGATAATTGTTAATTGAAATAAATAAATAAATAAAAAATGGTACATGTATAATATACATTTTAGATGAATAATATACATAGTATATGTAGATAACTGATGTAGAAAAAAAATGAAAAATGTAAATTTTATATTTTTTTATTTTAAAATTCTAAAATATTATAAGCTCAAAAATTTATATACTGACTGAGTACGGGTATAAGTAGAGTCGCGTCCCCAGAAGCGACTCACACGTTCCTTCTCGTTTTAAAAGTCCATACTTGCAGAAACTCTAAAAATTTAAACTTTGATTCGCTATATTTTCATGTATATCTATTCTATCACCACGATACGTTGTATTGTATTGTATTGTTTGTTTATTGTATTTCCTAGTGCTACAAGCAAGGGGCTTATAACACTACTCAACACGATTTTTCCTCAAGGAACAAAACGAACTTTTTCTTAAAGATTTGGGGCTTAGAAATGGTTTGATGATATTTTTTTTTTTCTATGGCAGAACTTTTTTTTGAAGAATTTTTGAAAACTGGTATTTTTTTTTAAGCTTTTTTCAGAGGTAGCGCTAATTGGATGAACAAAGCGCAACATGAAATGCAAAAAAGGGTTGTACATTTGGTACCTGATCGCGTTCCTTTGTTCCAAATGGGAATTGGGCTCACAACCTTCCAAAAGGTATTTTTTGTTCATTTTTTCCATATTTTAGATTTGGTTAACATTTGCCCAAGTCTCTCCATAGATTTTAATGAGCGATACCTTGAACGACGCCAAATTAATGCACCTATAAACAAAAAAATAGAGGACACAGGACATAATTTTTTTTCGACTTTTCCTGAGTTTTTATATTTGCTTTATATTTCCCAGACGGTAAGCTGTAATCACAAAGTGTTTAGGATTAACTTCTAGCGGTTTTAATTATATTTTTAAAATAGCAAAGTTCTTTACAACCAGACGTAAGATACTAGAGTTATGTGAAAAAAACAAGAGCTTCCTCTGAAAAAAAGCTTAAAAAAAAATACCAGACTTCAAAAATTTTTCAAAAAAAAGTTCTGTCATAGAAACAAAACCATAATTCTTTAAAAAATTTTAAATCTCCATATCTATCAGAACGAGAAGGAATGTGTGAGTCGTTTCTGGGGACACGACTCTACTTATACCCGTACTCAGTCAGTATATACATTTTTGAGCTTATGATTTTTTAGAATTTTAGAAAAAAAAAAATTTTTACATTTTCCTTTTTTTTTCTACATCTGCTATCTACATCTACATATACAATGTCTATTCTACATCTAACATGTAGATTGTACATGTTCCATTTAGATTCTACATCTCCTCCGCTAGGGGTTGCTCGCGCACTGAACGCGGCAGAGTGTGCGAGCGAGAAGGAAAATGAGTTGCGTTGTCGTTGGAAGGAGGGGGCAGGGGAAGCAACTGAAAATTAATTTCGTCATTCTGGCTATAAGTATGATCCGATCTGATTCAAATTTGGCAGTCTGGTAGATATGGGCATTCTCTACGATAATGCGTTTTTAGTTTTATCGTATCTTTGAAAATGTGCCTGCCACAGATTTTCGTCCTTTGTGTGGGCGGAAGTGGGCGGGGCGAAATTTTGAAATACACTTGTAGCAGTGGGATATCACATGAGTCTGGAAACCAAATTTTGTTGCCCTAGCTTTTATAGCTCAGACGGACAGACAGACATTGCTATATCGACTCGGCTATTGATGCAAATCAATAATATATATACTTTATGGGGTCGGAAACGTTTCCTTCTCTGCGTTACACACATCCACTTTTACCACAAATCTAACATAACCCTTAACTCTTTTTTGCTTCCTCTGCCCCCTCCTGCCAACGACCGTGCAACTCATTTTCCTTCTCGCTCGCACACTCTGCCGCGTTCAGTGCGCGAGCAACCCCTAGCGGAGGAGATGTAGAATCTAAATGGTACATGTACAATCTACATGTTAGATGTAGAAGATACATAATATATGTAGATGTAGATAACAGATGTAGCAAAAAAATGTAAAATGTAAAATTTTTTTTTTTAATTCTAATATTCTAAAAAATCATGCTCAAAAATGTAAATACTGACTGAGTACGGGTATAAGTACAGTCGCGTCTTTAGAAGCGACTACACGTTCCTTCTCGTTAATTTTAAATTTCTAAATAATCATAAGCTCAAAAATGTATTTACTGACTGAGTACGGGTATAAGTAGAGTCGCGTCCCCAGAAGCGACTCATACGTTCCTTCTCGTTTCAATTTACAATGTTTAGAGGCCGAGGCCGTGAACTTCTTGTAGAGCTTTAAACTGTATGTATATAAGGCAAACCGAAGTGATGGTGCGCTCTCTATGACAATTCTTACTACGATGCGATGCTGGGCGTTCGACGGTTATTTGGGCTGCGACCAAGAAACGGGTGAAGTACTGATATATAATCTGTTAGATGGGTACATATGTATGTGCGTTTATGCTCTGAGAGTTTAATCTACATGAGCGTGACAACAGATACATTCAGAGCATTCGGATAAGAAATATTAGATGAGATGATACGAAATATTTTAAAAGCATTAATGGCTTCTGCTCTGAACAACCATCATAGGTATTATTGCGGTATCAAGGTTGTGGCGCCGCTTCATGTTTTGAATGCAGAAAGGAACGTTTGAAGCAGTCAATCTATCTGTCCTTGACCTGTGAAAGATCACTTTTGATATGTTTTAAATTCCAACATGAGTCAGATGAAATTTTTTGCGCACTACAGGAAATTGCGACACCAACAGAACCCGTAAACGGGTTGTTCATCGGCACGGATATAGATTCAAACCTGTTCCTGAAGTTTATTCGCACTTCCAATTCCTGACCCAAAGGAAATCGGTCGAAGCAACAGAAATCTTCGGAAAATGGTCAATTCAATTCATCATGGGCCCATTGGTGCCAATGCCCGAAGCACATAAATTTTTAAAAATTCACTTCATGTACGGTGAGGACATTAAATGGCAGAGCAACACCATTACGGCCATGCTTCCGCCTTTTCTGCCTCAAACTTTACATTGCCACAATTCTCACAAACTACGCGCGTTCTATTAATCCGATCGAAAGGATGCAAAGCGTAATAAATTTAGCAATCATATTTAAATTAATACAATTTCAAACGATAAGCACAACGGTATACTGTGATAGCTGATACGTTGTAGCTGACAGCTGAAAATATAAAAATACTAAAAAAAATTTCCGAGCCTCGGTCGCCTTTCCGATTTTATATATGCGCTTTGCGAAGACTAACCCAACAGATTAAATATGTATCATTAAAATCAGCCCAGGCGTTAATGACTTACTAAAATCGTAACTTACCCAACTTTCTTTTATTTATATAAATATATTGAACTTATCCAATTGTATGATTATAGGGATTCTCCTGTGTGGACTTATTGAATGCCGGAATGAAAAGTTCTGGAGTTTTTTACCTACAAATTCGAGGCACAACATATTGGTTTTTGAAAGTTTACTGTGAACAGGACATTTCTGATGGAGGCTGGACGGTAAAAATGTTCATCTCATCAAATTTACTTTCAATTAAGTTTAAAAAAAAATTTCCATTAATTATTTTAATTTTAGGTAATTCAAAGACGTGATGACTTTGGAGAGCCACGGGAAAATTTTAATAGAGATTGGGCAGATTACAAAAATGGATTTGGTGAACCAGCAAAGGAGTTTTGGTTGGGAAATGAAAATATTTATATGTTGACAAACAATGAGGAGTACACTCTTAGAGTAGAGTTAGAAGACTTTGAAGGTAACAAACGGTAAGTGTTTAAATCGGTACTTTTTTAAAACATTGTATATGTAACCTGATTGAATCGTCCAATACATTCTTGTTTCGAATCATGACCGTTTTTGGATCTTTCTAACTAAATTAAGATTTTCCCTTCATAAACGGTTAAACTTAACTAGCTTTTGACGTTGATATGCAATGACTGCGACATTTAGTGGCCCATGCGACACCAAGCCGAAGCTTGTTACTCTCGGATCCTAAACAAAAAAGCAGCCCTCCTCCCGCCCAACCGAGTGAAGGTCGCGAACATGCTGGAAAGATAGATGTTAGACTAATATTCGAGGAAAATTTTAACTAAAGACAACAAATAGAGCTAAACATGCATTCAAAATAAAAATAAAAAATACTAATTACGGGTAAGGTACGTTAGTTCTAGTGATTTTAGAAGAGGGAGGGAAATAGTAGTAGATATAATATAATAGATATATATATGAATTAATGTCGGAGCATAAGCGGAAGGAACAAAAAAATATAATTTCTGGTGAATCTAATAGGAGTCTTGACGTTTCTACGTCTCAACAAGTTAGGGCTATCTACGTCACCACCCTTGATCAAGTTGTGCATACAAATTACACCAAGCATTTTTCTACGATTAAGTAAGGATGGAAAGTTTTTTAAGACAATCTATTAGGGTAAGGTGGCAATCTCACACTTGCATCCCAGTTGAGGCCACGCAGAGCTAAAAGTAAACAGTTTTTCTGTACTTATTCTATACAGTCCTGGTTTATTTTGTACCCAGGGTACCATACATAAAAGCCGTATTCTAAAATCGGACGAACAAGCGAGATATAGAGAGTATTCGTTATAATCCTTTCACAACCTGTTTGTAAACCCAAGCACGGCCATGGCCTTAAATACCATGGTAGAAATGTGCTCATGTGCTTGACATGGGGTCTAATTTAACACCAGAATCATCAACAAAAGTAATTATCTCAAGAGCATCACCGAAGAGTCGTTAAGGAGCCAACAAAGTGCTGGTACGATGAAATATCATTACTTTGCATTTCGAGGCATTAAGGTGTAAAATATTTACACCACACCATGACTGAAAGTTATTGAGATAAGATTGCAATCGAGAGTGAAAGGAAATGTCCTTACATGAGTACTTGAGAGTTTGTTAATACTGTAACAAAATTGTGCTACGCGGCGGGCCGAGCGGATTTTCCTTTCAGGTTGGGGGGCTGAACTTTAACAAAGGCAGCAGCCTAAACTCGGTAGCCGTCCTATTCCGTGAAATTATAACACACCTTCTCCTTATTTCTTCAGTTTATTCTTAGCGCATAACCTTTACGCTTGATCTTTTCTTCATACATGTGCTTTTTCTTCTTCTTTTCTGCCCTACGTCTGCCCGTTCGAGATGACCGCTAACTATCGATAGCCCGGGTAAATGGCTCTAAGGGCGCTACAATTTGAATTCGATATTTCGTTACATTGCCCCCCTCTTGGAGTTGAGACTCCTGGACGACTTATTCGGGAACAGGTGCGTTGTAGCTCACTAGTCGGTTTACGTGTACCGTCTTGGTGGTGCGTTTTCCGGGAAGGCGTATCTCGTAGACTAGGTCGGACGAACTGCGGATCACAGTGGCGGGGCCAATCCAGTCTGATTGGAGCTTCGGACATCGTCCCACTTTCCGAACGGGTGCATACAGCCATACGAGATCACCCGGCTCGAACTGGACGGTGTGGGAGCGTGGGTCGTAACGGTCCTTTTGCTGGCCTGCCGCGGCCTTCAGGTGTTCCCTTGCGGCATGATGTGTTTCTCGCAAATGAGATTGTAGTTTACCTACAAAGGCCGGGTAGCTCTCTGCGTCGGGTGTTGGTCGGCCATACAGCAGCTCACACGGCAATCGCATCTCCCGGCCTCGTGAACTGCTGCTCGGTAGGCCCACAGCGCCCACGGCAACCGTTCATCCCAGTTCCGTTGATGGTCATCTACGAATTTAGCCAGATAGCTGAGCAGCGTGCGGTTGAAACGTTCAACCATCCCGTCTGATTGTGGGTGGAGGGGGGTGGTGCGGGTTTTTTCGATGTCCATTAATCGTAGGCAGGCTCGAAAAACTTCCGATTCAAAGTTCCTTCCTTGATCCGAATGAAGCGCAAAGGGGACTCCATACCGGCAGAACACCTCTTCCGTTAGGGCGCACGCCACCTTCTCTGCTGTCTGGTCCGGTAGAGCTAAGCATTCCGGCCACTTGGTAAAGTAGCACATGACGACAGCTATGTATCGGTTGCCCCGGGTGGTGGTGGGTAAGGGGCCCAGTATGTCTATGGCGATTCGTTCGAATGGGGCACCTATGGCGCTGGGCTGGAGCCTGCCGACCGTTCGTCTGGCCGGACCGCTTCTGGCTTGACACGCCAAACAACGAGCGCAGTATATTGCTACGTCCGCGCTTAGCCCGATCCAGTAAAACCGTTTCTTAGCCTTGGCCAGAGTTTTCCTTATACCGAAGTGGCCTCCGGTGGAAGATTGGTGGACGGCTTGCAGGATTTGCGGCTGTACTGCGATCGGGATGACAGGGACCTGTTCGCCATCTCGGTTGGTGACCATAAGCACTAGCTCCTTCAGCTGTAAACGAGAGAATAGGTGCCAATAAGCTTTCACGTCTGGACTCTCACCCCAAATTGTACTCTTCGGTGGCCTCTCTCCTCGCACCACCCATTCATAGACGACTGCTAGCTCCGTGTCTTTCTTCTGGTGTTCGCTTAGAGGTTCTGGTACTGCTTCTAGGAAAAGTACTCGTCCCGCCTTTTCTTCTGCTTTTTCGCAAACTCGACAATCGTTGCAGGGACGGCGAGATAGTCCGTCTGCATTACCGTGGCGTTTCCCAGGGCGGTGCTGTATGTCCATATCGTACTGTTGCAGTCTCTCGATCCATCTTGCTACTTGGCCTTCCGGCTCCCGGAACGTGAGGAGCCATTTAAGTGACGCGTGGTCCGTCCGTACGACAAATTTCTGTCCGTAGAGATAATGGTGAAAATGTTTGGTGGCCTTAACTACGGCCAACAGTTCTCTTCGAGTTACGCAATAATTGCGCTCTGCAGGACTGAAAGTTTTGCTGTAATATTCGATGACCACCTCTTGACCGTTCTGCATCTGGCTCAGTACGGCGCCTACCCCATGGTCAGAGGCATCCGTGTCCAACACGAAAAGCTCTTTTGGTTCTGGAAAGGCTAGGATCGGAGCTGTAGTTAGCTTAGTCTTCAGCGTGTCGAAAGATTGCTCCGTAGCTGTGGTCCAGGTAAAGGTGCGCCGAGCCTCCGTCAATTCGTGGAGGGGTTTGGCGATCGTTGCGAAGTCGTTGAAAAATTTCCGGTAATAAGAGCAGAGCCCTACAAATGAGCGCACCTCCTTTTGGTTTTGCGGTCTTGGCCAGTCAGTGACCTTAGTTATCTTTTCCGGGCAAGCCCGCAGACCCTGACTGCCCACCACGTGTCCTAGAAAGTTGACCTCGTTCTTCAAAAATTGACATTTCTTTGGGCTCAGTCTTAATCCCGCTGCTGCCAGTCGTTCGAACACCTTTTCCAAATGCTCTAAATGCTCCTCTGCCGTGCTCGAATGCACGATGATGTCGTCTAAGTATACCAGCGTTGATCTCCAGGTGGGGCCAGCAAACAATCCGTCCATCAGCCTCTCGAACGTTGCCGCGGCATTGGTCAATCCGAACGGCATTACGTTGAACTCGAACAATCTGGCGCCACAGGCAAAAGCAGTCTTTGGCCTGGAAAGTTCGTCCATTTCCACCTGCCAGTAGCCGCTCTGCAGATCCATTGTAGAGAACCAATTGGAACCATGCAGGGTCGTCAGAATGTCCTCCGTTCTCGGCAGGGGATACGGGTCTTTAATCGTGACATCATTGAGCCGTCGGTAGTCTACGCAGAACCTGGTCGCACCATCCTTCTTACGGACTAATACTACAGGTGAGGACCAGTGGCTGTTGGAAGGACGTATCACTCCGTTGGCGCGCATCTCCGCTAGCAGGAGCTCCACTTCTTCTCTCTTCGCTAGCGCCAACCGCTGGGGTGGTTGCTTGTGGGGCCGTGCTTGCCCCGTGTTAATGACATGGTGCGTGATGTCGGTCTTGTCTTGTCGTCTCGTCGTCGTTTCTGGCAAATGATTTGCGATAACGACAGAGTAACTTCACCAGCGGCTTCCGGACGCCAAGCTCGACGTAATCCAGCAGAGGATTCCAATCTATGGGATCCTCCTCCGACTCCGCCCTCTTATGCACTTCGTCTACCGCTTTCAATTCGCCCAACACCGCTAGCGGTGGCAGGCTCACTTCTTGGTCGTTGAAATTCAGGATCCGTACCATTAGGGTGTCACCGGTAGCGTCTACGATGGCGCTACCCAGAGCCGTGCCCGAGGGTAGATCCGATACTTCTCCACGTTCTAGGACCACTTGTTTCTGCGGCGTCACCGGGGCGCAGCTCAGGTTAAATTGCGTGTCGCTCCGGGGTGGTATGCACGCTCTTTCCGTTAAGTAGAGCACGTTCCCTTGTATAGAACTCGTAACGTGCAATGGCACCGTACCCCAGGCAAACTTAAGGAGCATCGCGCTTAGGTCCACCGTCGCTTCGTTCTGGAGGAGAAAGTCGACTCCCAGCAGGCTGGGCGGGGCGCCGTCCACCAGCAGAAAGTCTTGCAGCACTGCGCGGTGGCCGATCCGTATAGTTGCGGAGACGCGCTGCGTCGCAGCAAACGTCTCGGAGGATGGTCCCCGCAGAACCACATGGCAAGCGGTGGTACGCAGTGCGTCCCTCACGTCCCGCCTGTTGAGCAGGGATACTGAGGCCCCTGTATCTACCACCATCCGTACCGGGCGTTTCTGAAATAGAATTACACAATGTAAGCTTTTGTCACTTAATGTGTTACGGGAGTACGTAGCTGTCGGTGCATCGCTGGGGTTGTTGAGCTCCCATATCCGAAGTACTTCTTCCTCTTCTGGCACCCTTCGCTCGTCGTTGGCGGCT